TATCTTGTCTGGTATGAGCACTAAATGACCAAATCTCTATACCCCGTCCGGTATGAAACAACATTCACAGTAGGGTTCCTTATGAACTCGATCCGTCTACCATCTGCTAATCATCTAGTGAGGCTGTCATCTTATCTGTTTATTATATCACACCCATTTTCTGTTTTTCCTTAATCTCCGTTACCAAATCAAACACAATCACATAAACATTGAACATGCACCCGGTAATGCAATCATATTTAAATCCTAAATCATACAGTTGTCAAGTAAGCAGTGATACATGCATTTAAAACCATAGAATAGATAAACCAGATACCGCAATGCATTTAAACTGTAAAATAAATCAAAAAGAAATCGATAAAGAATAATGTTCGATTCGGGCTCTATTAGCAATCCATAATTAATTATGCATATCTATCTAACTTGTACAAAAGACCGTATTATTATTTATTCAAACTTCACATCTATGATAGAGAATAGGGTGAGGGGTCCTTACTTTATTCGACACCAAAAACTAAATGGTTACTGCACCTACGGGCGGTTCTTAGGTTCCCTAATTTTTTTTTTTGGGAAGTGAAACGCACTTACGGTACATGCAAATGTCCCAAATAAACAAAAAAATCAATTCCAGGGCCTACTTGGCCAATTTTGGGTGTTACAAGATTAGTGTAGTTCACTCTTCTATTAACTATTTCAAATCAAGAAGAGTAAGATCCAGATCTCAATAAGCAAAAAGGTTGTGAGTAGTTTACCTTCCGGATTTCCTTCAAGTACTAGTGGAGGTTAACTCACTAGAACATTTATTTATTTGTTTTAATAATTGTTACTTTTTTTTTTTTTTTATAAACCGCTGTAAAAGGGACATTCTCATAATTTTATTCAGCATTCTAATTTACTGTATAAGAAACGAAAACCCTAATTTTATTATTTACTTTTGCATTTAAAATATAAATTATTTTCCTTTAATTTCGAACCTTTACAATAAATACAGTTAGGATTACCATATTGTTTCAATATATGATTTAACTCCTATTAGAAATAAATGGAGGGCCAATGTGGGACTCTAAAAGTATATAATATAAATTATTAAATTCTTGGCACCATAGAAATCAATCGGACCACATATAATTAATTATGCTTGTATAAGATACTTTTGTTTAGGAAATATGTAAAAAAAAAAAAAATGTTGTTTCTTTTAAATGCTTTTATTACAAAATATATCTATAATAAATTACAATTAACAATCACATCTAATATTTTTTTGTGTTTTTTCATGATTACATTTAATTATAATAATTTGTAGTGTCACGTTATGTACATGAAATTAATCATTATAATTGAAAATTACAAAGATAAGTAAATTATAAAAATTATTTTTGGTGAATTTATTTATCAATTGCGTTTTCTTAATTACTTTTGTTGCATCAAAAGTAAATAAATAAATATTTATCCGTAAAAAAAAAGAATCAAACCTTACTACATAGATATCTCGTATAAATACCAGTCAAGAAAAAATATAACTGGTATAAATATTTAATTAAAATTATAATGAATTTTTATATGAAAATTAAATCGAAACAATTAGATTTCAAAAAAATTGGAATATTCTAACAATAGTTTGAATATTCGTGCTTTATTTAGTTTTTAAAAGTGGGATAAAAGGTAATATCAAATTAATTATTACGTTAATTTAATCAAATAAAAAATAGAATATCTATGAAAAATTAATTGTCTAACCATATTTTATTTTCTAAATCAATTACCATAATTTAATAATTCTTTTTTTTTAAATTTTTCTGATAAAAAATATATTTATATTTATATATATATATACATATATTAACGTACCAGTGGCAGGTAAACATGTGAAGGTGACGGGTGGAGAAATTTTGGGAGGAATTTTCACGTGTAGTTTTCCTGTTGGCAAGACGTAATCGATTACATAAGGGTTAAATACATTTGTTGATAACGCGCTTGATATGCGTGTGAGCAATACTTCCTTTCGTGGCGTAGAAGCTACAGTTGGACCAATCCAAACCAATGCTAGTCCGTTTGACCGTAACTAGCTGACAAGCAAGTCAGAAACCGCACACGTCACCGCACACGTCATTTTCGTCAGTTATTTTTTTTTACCCATAAATATTATTATTAATTATATCCTCCACTCCTTCAATTTACTGCCTCAGTAATTGTAATAATAAGCGATTATTATTATTATTATTATTACTTTTTTAGTTTTTAACAGTAAAATATTTTGGGATGAAAATCTTTAAACAGTATATGTTAATATTTTATTTAAAGTTGTATTTAATTTAATTTCTTAATTTTTATGTATTAATTATATGGTCTCTATAAATTAATTATAATTCACAAATTTTATACATAATAAAATAATTTTCACTTGGATATTCAATCCTACAATTATGAATTTTATATTTTTACATGGTAATGAAATAATCATAATAATTTTTAATTAATTTTATTTTATTACAGTATTTTAATTCAAATTTGTATCTTGTATTGATATTATATTTTGTCTTTTTTTTTTTTATTATCTATAAAAAGTTTTGATTTTGAGACCTCAAGTTTCGTGCTCACATATGGATGGTATGAATTTTTTTTATTTATAATATATATGATATATATAATTTACTTTTTATCAATTGTCATCTGATAATAAAAGGTAACATATATGTTCATATATATATTTATGTTTTGTGGGTTGTGGGGTCATGATGTTTACAAATTCAAATTCAAATACAACTTAATTATATTCCATCTTGTGGGCTATATTATACTTCTTTTACAACCTCAATCATGAGCTTTGTACATTTTTTTTTTTCCTAAGAAAAATAATAATGGGTAAAGATAATTAAAGTTATGGATTACTAGGTTTCCATTTAATGAATTAAGTTTTAGGATAAATATAAAATAACTTTAATATGTATACATATCATATTATATAATCCATAATCTTAACATTAAACTATTACCTTAAAATATTTTAATTTAAAATTACAATCCTAGATGTGAAAAGAATCTAGAATTTATAAAAAAAGTATGGACAAAGAGATGTAACGATTAAGCAAACGGTAATAAATCTTAATTAAATCATTAAATGATATTAGAATATTAATTACTAACGTAATCTATAATTTATAAATTTTTAATTTTCTTAGGTTTTTATTTCCTAAATATTTTTATTTAAAACTACTAAAATGCATATTATATATAGTAAATTATTAAATTATTATTATTTTTTTACTAAATAAAAAATTATTTATTTTTTAAAATTAAAATTTTTATTACCTGATAAGAACGTTAATACATCGAACCTTACCCCATCAAAATTATCTTATTTTATTGTCAACTCCAGAAAAGGAAAACAATTAAAATATTCTTTTAAATTTCTAGAATTATTGTCGTTACGGAAATAAATATTTATATTTTTCACCACTTAATTTTTCTTTTTTCAAGTTTGACCTCTTAAGTTCTGTATAATTGCAGGCGAAAGCAACGTTACGACCCCCTTAAATACCAATCTCCATGAACCAGACAGTCAATCGGGACGTCTATAACAAGCCACATTTGCTTATCCCTTCCAACCCTCGTTCCCTATGTCAGATCACATTTTCCCAAGAAAATCTCCTTTTCCATGAAAGTTCATGTCATAGGTAGACCTTTGAGTCTCCTGTTATATATTAACTTGCCTTCTTTTCGATCCCCTCAACGTCTCCAGTTTTCTTCCCGCGCATCTCCTGTGATTTTCTGTCGGGCCAAACCCCAGAAAGCTTCCGATAATTCTATGGCGGCTTGCATTGAAGCTTCGATATCAGACTGTCCCCAAACCGATGATGGGTTCAGGTACGTCAAGATTTACAGAACCGGTTTCTCTGACCATTCTTCTTGTATACCCATCACTCGGAATCAGACTAAAATGATTCACACTCGCCCACTCGTGGACGAAATCCATCGGGAAGAGGATAGAGTCGATGTTTGGGTTAAAATACAAGAGGAAGCTAGATCGGATGTTGAGCGAGAACCCATTTTGTCAAGCTACTATTACACTTCGATATTGTCTCAGCAATCGTTAGAGAGGGCATTAGCGAATCATCTCTCGATCAAGTTAAGCAACTTGAGTCTCCCTAGCTGTACCCTGTATGATATTTTCTTGGCGGTGCTTCAAGATGATAGGGAAATAATCGAGGCAGTGGAGGAAGATTTGCGAGCTGTCAAAGAACGAGACCCTGCCTGTATAAGTTATGTGCATTGTTTCTTGAACTTCAAAGGATTTCTCTCCTGCCAAGCTCATAGATTAGCGCATAAACTCTGGTCGCAAAACCGGAAAGTATTAGCACTGTTGATTCAAACAGAGTATCCGAGGCTTTTGCCGTGGATATCCATCCTGAGCCAAAATCGGGCGGGGGATTTTGCTCGACCACGCTACCGGAGTAGTGATCGGCGAGACGGCGTGATCGCATATGTTCATCTACACAACGTGACACTGAGGACTGCAGCTTGTGGGGACCGGCACCCCAAGATTTGGGCATGAGTGCTGATGGAGCAGGGACTGTATTTTGGGGAACATTAGGATTGGGGATGGAGCCAAGATTGGTGCTGGTTCAGTGGTGTTAAAAGATGTGCCGCCGAGAACCACAGCTGTAGGGAACCCAGCAAGACTTGTTGGAGGAAAAGCAAATCCAATCAAGCTCGATAAGATTCCTAGTTTCACCATGGATCATACTTCCCATATATCTGAATGGTCTGATTATGTTATATAGTTGCAATTTTTGTTTGGTTTACAACTTTAGTCTTTCTGGGTTTTTTAAGAGAGAACTGAAGTTCTCTTATCAAGAAATGGGTAATTTTAAAGCTGCTTAGTCCATGTTAAGCAGGCTCTAGTCATCTGCGATGTACTGTACTGGTTTTTAGATATTGCCATGAATTACTTGTACTTAACCAGATATATAAAGTTCTTCTCATTTAGTTAAGTTGCTTGTTTATTTCCTCTGCTTTTAATTTCAGCAGGGTTCTTGCCTTCTGCTTCCTGTCTTTTATGTAGAGATGATTGACGGTGTTGCAATGTGGGTTTGTTTAGTACATGCCAGACCTCTGATTTTGAAGCAGAGCTTCATTTTACAGAGATGAAACAGAGATTTGTCTCAAGAGGCTGGCCTGAACCAGTGTTTGTTAGGGCAATGATTTAGTAACATTGAGTTAAAATTTTGAGAGAATTTCTTGTTACGTCTGGGCAAGTTTAAGCTTGATATGGCACCTGTAAGAGCGCAGGGAAGAAAGATAGGGGGGAGTCTAGTAACCTGCAGTTTACTTTTATGTCCTTTCTTATTCTTCTTTCAACTTTTTTGCATACCATTTATACTATTTTTTGTCCAGATTTTGTTATGTAAAAGATGCATCACTAAATACTCCAAAAGAGTTTTAAAAATCAGGTACTTCTCTCTGAATTAGCTTTAGCAAGGAAAGAAAGAGATAGCTCCTTGAATTAGTCAAAAAGGATAAAGCTTGGAGTCTAATCCTAATTATTCAAAACCAAACTAGCTTATGGAATATGGCATCAATCTCAGACAGCTCTTTTCTTTTGAAAAAAAAAATAAATCTTTTCCGAGATGCCATTAGAAGAAAATCTTGTAAAACTCCAAGGCTCAATAACAAAATATAACTGGGTTGAAATATCTTATGTATGATGATCCTTAATGATTAAATGATCCAACTTCCTCATGAAGCTCCATCTTGCCCCAGTCCCAGTGCTTTTTAGCTTTTCTTTCTGTTCATGGTCCTGGAACCAAAGAACATATTGGACTTCAATGACTCAAGTCTGAATCTATTTCTAGGGCCGTGGGAGGTCATAGAAGACATTCTCAACTTTTAAAGCTCTCATCCTTTCCATAGATTGACACACATGGCCAAAAAATATGGAATCTGATGCACCTATAACTGGTGAAATTTCTATTTTTGTTGTTTCTTCACCAGAGATTACCAGAGAGGTGATGAAACCTCATGATGCTATCTTCTCGGCCAGGCCTGAGATTCTTGCTTCAAGCATAATTGCTTATGGTCTGTAGACATTGCTTTCGCATTAGATTGTGAGTATTGGAGGCAACTTCAGAAAATTTGCATGTTAGAACTCTTGAGCTTGAGACAAATGCAAAGCTTCGGCCACTAAGAGAGGAAGCGGCAATGAATACCATTAAATTGATTACTTCAAAAGAGGATCATAGGTCAATCTGACAGAGAAAATTTGCTCAAAAAATTCACATTATGACTTTATGGACTGTCCTTAGTGACGGATGCAAAGACCTAAAAAATTTGTGCCAATTATATAGAGTATTGAAGCGGCTGATGATTTCGAATCTTACAGATCTAAATCCTTTTGCTAAGTTGCTCCATGTGATTATCCGCATGAGAGGCTGCATAAAGAGGCTGACAGAACGCATAAGAATATCGTCAATGAAATATAGATAGGAAGTTAAAGCCAAGAACAAAAAGTGGTGAGTGTCAAGCAAATTAGCATCTGATTGATGTGTTTTCTAAATGTTCAGATGAAGAACTCATATTTTCATTAACTAGAAACAACACTAAAGTAGTAATCTTGTAAAAATTCGTATATCATAACAGTTTTTTATATTAATATTTATATACTTGTTTAGTTATTGAACTGAGAGATGTTTTAACAAAATTTTAGAATATTTTCAGTGGCAGGAGTGAAATATATGCGCCCATTCTAGATTGTACTGTGTAAGTAAAGAGTGTGAGATTACATCATGTTGCTCGTATTTTACTTCCAAGAGAAAATGGAGAGAGGTGTGAGATTAATATAAATAAGATTTCTCTCAAATCCCATATAATTATTAACGTATATGGCATATGAGTAGATTCTAGTTTCTCGAATGAAACATAAAGATTTGCTCAGAAAGATTTCTTAATAGTTGTATAATTATCGAAAATAATTCCGATAGTGTTTTTCTGTCTGTTTTTAAAATTAAAATAATCTAAATATATATAGAAAATGATAAGTTTAAGAATTAAAAATACAAAAAGAATGTTATCAAATCTAAATGAAGATATGAACCCACATCTATATTATATATGATATCATTCAATAATTACCATAATGATAAAAATTGAAAATGAAAATAAAATACTAACAGTTCTGTCACATAAAACAATTGTGAGACTTCATTATAAAAAGAATATCTATTTGTTAAATAGACAACTCTATCATCAAGAATGAGTTAGAAGAGTTCATTGCTCGTCAAATTCAAAACGTACATGAACCGTACGTTATACATTTTGCTCTTTCAATAAATTTTTGTGGAGTTAATTGCTGTGGATTATAAGTGGTGCGCTAATGAAAAAGTTGCATGAACATTTTTATTAGTAGATGAGCAAGGATGTAATGATTAATTTGGGTTTCGTCTCGGTCTGTAATAGCTAATTCTTTTTAATTTAATATTTTTAACTTTTAAAATAATTTTATATTATTTTAAAATTAATTACAAATTTTTATACGATAATCTAAAAATTGAGAATGTATAACCGTATTCGTACTATAATTTTTGGTAGTAACACTTCAATTTCAACAAACTATTGGTTAGTTTACTTGAGTGACTTAATTAGGATCAAGCTTAGATTGACTTATTGGTAAAATTTAAATTTATTTAAGATTTTAGCTTAAATTAAATATAGTCAAACGGGCTTTCTGGTCAAACTGGCCGGGCCCATTTGTACTCTTATTTATTTGGGCCGTGTCAAAGTCCAATTTACAGGTCCTTTGAACTAAAATTCAAATTCCTAAAAAAATTTAAAACGTAAAAAGGAAATCGTCTTCTTCCTATTTGGCAAATTTTACAAGCCTACAATGGCAGATTATGTTGAATATCGACAAGACTCGAGCCAGGGGTAGTTTCTTCTTCATTCCTTTCTCTCCTGGCAGTGCTAAGCCACGAATAAGGATCAGGACTTTCGTGCATTTTGACGAACATCACGTGAATGCATGCCTGTAAAGAGTGTAAGGATAATGGCAACTTTTGCAGGTGTTTATTCTTGTGCTCTTCACTTTGGTTTTGAGCATGACTTTTAATTTGTTTTGACATTTGATCAGTGTGGTTGTTCATAAATATATACTTTTGCAAAATGTTCCTGGAATTGTGAAATTCAATGATGCTTGTTTAGTTCTAGCTTTTGCTTTTGTTAATATAAGAAGTGGCTTAGCGTGTGTTTGGATTGTGGTTCATTAATTTATGGTATGGTACTGAGATTTGTCCTTGATTAATTCCAAAAAACCAAGGTTTTCTTTTCTCCTCCTCTAGGTTTTCTTTCCATTAGACTCGCGGCTCTCCTCCTCAAGGCTCGGCCCCGCCCCTCCAGCCTCTGCCGGATTCGACGCTGCCGACCTTGCTTATCTGTTATTCTCTTCCGAATATCACCTGCTATATTCAAAATATGGTACACTTCTTTTCTTTTTTCTTTTTCTTTTTCTTTTTTTATTTATTTTCATTTATCTTTTGATTCTTCTGATCTTCTTTTTTTAGTTCTTCGTGTTCTATGTAACTCGTGAGATTTTCTTGCTTGAATTTGCTTTGAGTCATAAGTGAGCATAAGTTGTCAGAGTTCTCGCCACTGAATTGGAATCAATGGGTTTAAGTATTAGTAAAATGTTATATTAGCTTTGCATTTGGGTCTATTTTTGCTAGATACGCTATTTTATGGTATTCTGATTTGTGGGTTTTTCTTGTAAGCTCGAGTTAGCTCTTGGGTACAATGAATTTTGACAATTCTGTCTTATGTAATTGGTGGGTCGTTTTGGTTGCGTGTTCTTATGGGCGATTCTAGTTCTGTATTGTTTTCTCACCATTGTTGCTGGAAACTAAATACACCAACACTTTCTTGAAGATATTATCTTTCATGCATTTTAAATTTTTTCTTTGACAAAATTTAAATCTGATGAATAAGTTCATTTTCTGCTTTCTGTGAGTTTCATCAATTGTTTGTTTGTATTTGTTGAAGTTGGTCAGGATTACAAAAGAGCTTAGCTTAAGTATAATAGAATTAAATGCAGTTATTTACCGTGATTTTGTTAGATTGGATTTAGACTTACAGATAAATTTACTGTCCAAGTTCTGATATAAAGTTCATATTTCGAAGTACCCTAGAGATCATAGTTTATCTCAAAAAGAAGACTTTTCCATCTGATGTATAAATGTCAAAACTAAGATTTCAAGAACTGGTTTTGGCACATCAACTAAGCATATGTAACCACCTTTGAGCAAGTGCAATAACAAATTGTAGGGAAGCTTTTAAACATTGACTCATAACTCCTAAATGAATCCAATCCATGCATGGTGATAAGTGTCGAAAAAACTAGATACCAATAGCTTTTGACTCATAACTCCTAAAGAAAAGCAGTCAGTGACTTAACAGAGACGAAGTGGAGATTTTCAGGTAAGTAAAACATTCTTTAAATTGAATAGCTTTTCTTGTGGGTCATCTCTGCATGCTATTGACCATCCAAATATCCCAAACTTGTCTCTCTTTACTCTTCACACACCATTAAAGCAAACCCAAAAAAGAAAAGCACTCTCTCCACCCAAACCAGCAAACCCAGTATTTTATCTCTTATTTATTTAAACCCAAAACCGCCTTTCACTCCTATCTTTTTTCACAAATGCACCAAACTAAGTTTCAAGTATTCACTTCTTTACCTTCTCAAAATTGTTGTACAAGAAATGATTTCTAATGGCTAAGCGTGTTTTCCAAGTTTGGAAGGGACGCAATGTATGCTGCTAGCTTCTATCATGTCTCTGTTCTTTTTTTTTTTTTTTTTTTGGTTTAATATCAATGGAGTTTCTTTACTTAATAGAATTTGATCTGGTTCTCATTGAAGATGTTGTATGATATTATATTGGCATAGTTGCATTTTGTCTTCTTTTACTTTTTGCTTGCTTGATAATCTAAGTAATTTTGGTAGGCTTGTGTGGAATTGTGTAAGGTCTGATTTGCTGGTCTTTCCCATCTTGGTTTTTTTAACTCTGTGAAATTTGATCCGGGTTCTCTTTTATTTGTATAATCTGCTCCAGTGAAGCGACTTTCTCCGTCACCCTTTATTGAGAGATAACTGAGAGAAATTTCTGTCTCATTGTTGAAGAAATTGATAGAAACGAAATTACATTTCTATCCTAATTTATCATGTTGATTTGGTTTTGGCAAGTAGAAATAAAGTTCAAGAAAGCTAATGGCTGAGTGGGGGATGATTCTTGCTTATTTAACAATTTAAAGCCAATAAAATTCTCTTTTTCATTTTCTTGTCCCCAGTCAATAGGGGTTACCAGACCATATGGAAGACTGTTAGGGTAGATACTGATGCTTCTATTTTTACATAATGCATAATATGTTACCTGTTATATTGTAGTAGCATGCAGCCCTTCTTAAATCTACATTAGCATTTTCATGTTTGAAGTTATCTTTCATTGCGATTATTTTGATTAGAGGAGGGTTTTGGGTAGGAAAATATTAGCCCTTTTTCTGTTCCTCTTAGTCCTAATTTTGAGAAATAGGCATCTCTAGTTTTCTGTTAATCTAAAGCAATATCTTTTTTCCCTGCTTGCATTACAAGAAGCTTTTTCATAAAATATAAAGTGTCGAGCTATCAGTTTGATATTGTAGTACTCGATGCTAATAAAAATTTGATAAACTTCCAAATAGAAGCTAGAACAATGAAGTCACAAAAGAAACTTCGTAATGAGTTTGATGAATTTTGAAGATTAAGAGATGATTACTATTTTCTATTTTTTTTCAAGAAAAAAAGAGGATATCTTTTATTTGGTGCATTGAGGCACATTAGTATTGGGCTTGAATATGATGCTTGTCATGCTTTTTGTGGTTTTTGATTAAATCTTAACCATATTTGTATATATTTTTAGATGGATCATAGAGAACGTATAGTTGTTTTAGTGGGGTACTTTGTCATGCTTATTGGAACTTATGTTTATAGAAGGAGAAAACTTAGACTTACTCATAAATTAAGACTAGAGGGAGAGAAAGTTCGAGATAAGCTTATGAAAAATTTGATCTCAAGTGAGTTTTGGCGGCATATCATTAGGATGAGAGCTTCGGCCTTTTTGAATTTATATTATTTACTAGTTATAGAGGGTGGACTTAGGCCCACCATTCATGTAACTGTGGAAGAACAAGTTGCCAATACACTTTACTTATCAGGACACAATGAGAAAAATCGAATTATGTCTTGGCATTTTCGATGATCCGGAGAGACGAGAAGTCGCCATTTCCATAATGTGCTATGATGTATAGTACAAATGACAGATAAATTTCTTAATCAGCCAGTTGGATCACAAATGCCTTTGGAAATAGTCAACAATCCTAGTTTCTTTCTATTTTTTAAGGTAAATATATATGTTATTCAATCTATAATTGGTTTTTTAATGTATGAGTTTAATTAATTTTTTTGAAAAAAAGTATAAGTTTATTTAATTAACGAACAATTAATTTCAGGATTGTGTTGGTGCAATTGATGGAACACATATACGTATGAAAGTGTCAAGAATTGATGTTCCAAAGTTTCGTGGAAGAAAAGATTTCTCCATACAAAATGTATTGACAGCTTGTAAATTCGATTTGAAATTTTCATACATCCTAGCTGGGTGGGAGGGGAGCGCATCAGATTCAATGATAATAATTAATGCATTAAATAGACTTGAGGATCCTTTAGTAATTTTCGAAGGTAATTAAAATATATTGAATTTCAATATGTAATGTTTAAGTTTCAAGAAAATGTTATAATTTAATTTGTTCATTGTTTAGAGGTAAGTTCTACTTTGTGGATGATGGTTTCATGTTGCAGGGTGGATTAATTACTCAAGGGGGAATATTACCATTTGAATGAATACTCAAGGAATCCACTACGCAATGCTCGTGAGCTATTTAATTTTCGTCATTCTTCTTTATGTAATGCGATTGAACGTGCCGTTGGAGTTCTTAAAAAACATTTTCCAATTATTTCAAGCTCTAATGAACTTTATTATTGGGTGAAAACTGTTAATTATATTATATTTGTTTGTTGCATTTTGTACAACTATTTATGGGAAGAGGATCCAAATGATGAATTTCTTGTAGAGGTTGATGAAGAACTTCTAAACGTTTCTCGTGAGGAACGAAATCCATATAATCATAGGGACAGTATCAAGAAAACAAGAAGAGGGGAAGCTATTAGAGATAAAATAGCAACTGATATGTGGGCTGCTTATAATGTTTGATTACATTTGTGGACTTATTGTGTTGCTTATGAATTTTTGTTATTTATGACATGTGTGTAACATTAATCTTTTAATTGAACACTATAATTTGTAATTTATTTTGTTATAATTGCGTTATATTTTGTTATCTAGTGTTCTTGAAAATGATTATATTTGTTGCTGTTGTACTGTAATGTTCTTGAAAATGGTAATGATGAATAAATTTGCAGATGGAGGGAGTAACATTGTCCATTGAACAGATTCTATGGATGATGCATTAGTAGATGTTATTTATAGTAAACATTTATTGGGCCGTAGATCTGGTGGGATGTTCACTGCATAATCTAAATAAAAACAATTATTATTACTATACATTAATAGATAATTTTTTCAAATATAGTATAATTTTGTCATTACCATACATTAATAAACAATTTTTCGAAATATAGTATAACTTTGCTATTATCATACTCTGCCATTATTATACAACACCATACACTAATGAACTACCCTGAAATTCATCCAAACAAGCCCTTAATGTAACTAATTTTCTATGCTTCCCTGTGTGAAATAATTGATTGTGGTTAATGTTTTTCAAAAGCTTAATCTTATAGAAAATGATTCAATAAACTATTTATATAGTACAATGTTCTTTCAGATGCAAACTTATATTTTGTAACTTAATGCTGAAATTTATTTAATAGAAATATAATACAGTTAAGATGTAAATATTAAACCTTTGCTTTTGATACCACATAAATTAATCCATTGTGGTCAACTTTTCGGGTTTGAAAAGACATCTGGTATCTTCCTCTTCTAAGATATTTGTTGCACATGGTTAAAATTTGTCGGTATTGATTTTGTTGTTATGTACTGTTGATTGCAAAGTAAATTAAGCTAGACTTCTCACAGGCCTCAATGCTTCATGTTTGTCGATATTGTACCACGGAGGGAGATATGTTTTGTTTATGAGCTGCCTCACTGCTTCTTGTGCCCGGCAGGACAGTCTTCTTGTGGTAAAGATGAGTGGGCAAAATTTTTGAGTTATTTTTGGAGGAGGGAAATGGTAAAAAGTTCTTTCTTGATTTCACCTGTTCCCTCCTGAAATACCTCTAACTTGGTCACAAAGATTTTGAAAACATTACGAATATGTAAGGTTCCAAAACTGTGAAAATTTACCATTTCCTTTCCTGCTCTGTGTTACTTTGAGAATTTAATACCAAGAAAGGTATTTCTTTATGCATATTATCCATTTTGTTTCAAGAGTCCATAAATTGACCACGTTATATCTTGTAAAGATTGCTATTATTGTGAGTTCTATATACATCCATTGGATGGAGGCTTGGATTTTGGCCTTGTCAAAGTTGCATGCAAAATATTGGAGGAAAGGGACAGCTGTTCTGATGGCCAAGGCTATCATAAATCAGGTATCTGATTATTCTTTTATGATGATGTTCTATTTTTCACTGTCTGTTTGTCGTCCAGTCATTATAGCAATAAATTGTTGTTAACAAGTTCTTTTTACATTAGCTGGTGACATGGTGTGCTTATTTCAGGGCAATTCTTTTTTTAACTTTAATCAGTGGCATTGAAGTTGGTGATGGAGCCATGGGGTTGTGTTGTTACCATATTGATTTGTTCTTTTTCAGACATATATGGATAATTTGCCATATACACCCGGAAAATGTCGGATTTTGCAATCAAGAACAAGGACTTGCACAAGAAGGCAAAACTGTCAAAGAATTTGCTGTCAGAAAACATGAATGTGAAGAAGCACCGGATTCACCTGTTAGTGAAATTAATTCCACTGAAATTAATTCTTTTCCTGAAAGGAAGTTTTCACAGTCAGCTGTTGACCATCATGCACGTGATTCAATACTTGAAACAAGTAGCTGACTGCAAACCCACATTGTGCCACGTGAGGGACTGTTGGAGAGAAATTATGCATGAGCAGACCCAAGTCATTTGGGAACTATTGGTCAGGCACATTCTGGTTGGATTTTTGGTGCCATAGCTAAGCTTGTTGATAATTCTAGAGACTAAAGCTACTAAGCCGGTTAAGATTGATGCATGATTAATGACTTTACCTTTGTTCGTGTTTTTTTATTGCTATTAGAAGTCCTCATTGTTTTATAGGACATGATGATCATTATGTGTTTGAACAGATTGGACATCTCTATTGAGCTTAGCATAAGAGCTGGCAAAAGCAGCCCTATGTTATCAGTTATAGATGATGGAAATGGAGTGGCACATAACGAGATTGTGAGAATTACATTTCTTTGTGCACAAGCAACCTCTTCTGACGTCCACAACACATTGGGAGATATGGTGTTGGGTTTAAGGTAGCATGTTTCTTGTTTTGGTGTTTTGAATTGCTTTTTTGTGGTTGCTAGCCATCTAATAATTGTTTGGTTGGAAACTGTTTGGAATATCCTTATGAATTGTTGACATACAAGCAAAGATGAGACTAGTGTCTTTTATTTCTTTTATTCTCAATGTTTTCTCTCAAGGTCCTTGCTAATGTTGGGCCTTGCATGACCAATTTTAATATGCCTTTTGAAGTTCTTAAATATCTTGTTTTCATCTTGTGCACTTGGTTTCATAGATTCTGCACAAACAAAACAAATACATGTAATTAAATTAATCTGTGTGAATCTTATTTCCTGAAGCATATTTTAAATATACATTCAACTCTATTGGTTTCTATAAAGATTCGGACAATTGTTTGTAACTCAATGTACTAATCTGGTATTAATTTCTCAGATGGGAGCTATGAGGCTTGGTAGGGACCTGTTGGTTCTTACTCAGACTGAAGACTCGAGATCAGTAGCATTTCTTTCACCATCACATGATTCTTGCTTTACAATTTGTTCCTTACTTGTGCATTTATGTTATGATAGTCATTTTACTTCACTAATTTCATTATAATATTCATCACTTCTGCGGCTGCAGAATCTTGAGATCCCCATTGTTAGCTACTACAGAAAAGGACAGTTCGGGGAAATAGATAGAAGTGCTGAATCTGAAGCTTTAGCAAGCACAATTTAAAAGCTATTAAGGAATTCTCACCATTTGACAAGTATTTGATTGGTGAAAAAGCTGGCTTATTTCAGAAAACAAAAAAAGAAAAATACAGGGACACAAAAATACAAATGGAATTTGGATGAATGGAGGTCAAATTACTGCCTTGAATGGACTGCCCGATTGAGTGGTGGGAGCTCTCTCCCCCAAGGTAACATACTCATCAGTTCTAGAAGGGTTTAATCTTGTCCTGGTCAGATCAGTTGAAATGTTGTGGATAATTTCTTTCTGCTTAATTGCATAATATAGAAATTATTACTCAAATCACTTGTTTTAATTTTGACTTTGGCTTCATCTTCATGGTGCCATTAGATTATTCACTTAGATCACCTAGGAGTCATCTATTTAGTTCAAGGTTAACTCGCAATGAATTGCAGTTCTTTTGTTGGGTTTGTTTTGCACTGGAATTATCCACTTTGATTTTTGGTATTTACCTCTTAACAGGTACAGAGTTGACCATTGACAAATTCACTAAATAATACTTGTGTAGAAATTGGTGCTATCACGGGAAAACCTATTTGTTTGCTTCTAGGTTGCAGTCAATTAGAGTGGGAGCAGGCAAATTGTGGAAAATTTTTTTGCCGGCATGGTCACATAATTTCCATGACTCAAGGAAACTACTAATAATAGACAAGAAATCAAACCCATTTACAATACAACAAATGCTGAACATCGTAGAATGATCAATGTCATTTGACCTTCAACGTTATTCATGATATTCTGTCAGAATTTGTTTTCAAAGTTTGTTCTTTTATCCTTATCCTCTTCTATCAGACAATGTTTTATGCTTCGCAAATCTTACACATTCTCTTTTATATAGGAGATTTGCCACAATACAACAAATGCTGAACATCGCAGAAGGATCAATGTCATTTGACCTTCAACGTTATTCATGATATTCTGTCAGAATTTATTTTCGAAGTTTGTTCTTTTATCTTTATCCTCTTCTATCAGACAATGTTTTATGCTTTGCAAATCTTACACATTCTATTTTATATAGGAGATTTGCCATTTAATATATTTGTTCTTTTAGTAAGAATTTTCAAGTTCATGTCTTATTTATTCTTGTCTAAATACTATTTGTTGATTAGATCCTTGATCCTAGGCTCTAATTCTGCTTATTCTTTCTTTTTTTTTTTTTGGTGAAACCTTATCCATAGGGTGCGATCTACTTCATTTTTATATTTCTTTTTAAAAAGCTTTTTCCCCTTGTGATATAGAACAACAATTGAATATTGCCAAAAATATTAGTCCTTTTATCTATATATGGCTTGTTTCCTCCTTTACAATTGAAGATTTTAGAGAAAAAATAATTATTAATTTTATTTTTTATTATTTGTGTTTATACTTAAAATATATATAGAGTAAATTATCCTTATTTTAGTAGAATTCTAATTACATGATATAACTTTATTATTAGAACTCTAAATAATAAAATATCTTATTTAGCATAATATCTTACTTTAAATATAATTCTTATCAACACTCCTATTCAAGTTGGTGCAAAAATATCACACATGTTCAACTTGCAAATCAGATTCTGAAGAGATTTATTGCATAATTTTTTAATAAAAATATTACCCATCTAGTCATCAGAAGATACATAATAAAAGCATAGGGAGCCATCAACCACTTTCTTTTTTTTTTATGAAATGTCGATCAATCTTAACGTGTCTTGTTATATCATGTTGAATTAGATTATGAGCGATATTAATGGTCTTTCATCTTTACACAGTTTTTGTTCTCTCATTACCTTTTGCAAACATAGTAATTCATATATTACTTGGGCCATCGCTCTATATTCTGAATCAGTACTGGAACGGATAACTACACTTTACTTCTTATTTTTCCATGTAACCAAGTTGCCTCCTGTGAGTGTGC